TGCAAACAAGATATAGCGTCGTCTAACTTGTTTTGACGGTATAGGCAGTATGCCTGATTCATGGAACGAATAAGAACACAACCATTCCATTATCATTCAATCATTTCAACAATCCAATCCAACGTTTGATTCATCTAGCCATAGAATTGTGAAAATGGACAGTCACAAACTAAATTGAATAAGAACTGAAACTTCTCGAAGTAAGGCCCTTGCAACACACTCTTAAACACTCTAACCAAATGTATGAAATGCATGCAGTGCAAATGCAATTGGGGCAAAATGAATCAAAGGAAACTGACCTTCTGGAAACCGAAATCAATTGGGATCTTATGGGATGACTGAATGACAGAGAGGGCGTCATCGATTTTATCGTCTTTTATCAGAGCCACAACTTTGCATCGGAGAGCATCCTCATCGCCAGGTGCGATTGACAAAACTGATCAAATCATACGAGTTTCGAACCATCACAAAAATCTTCAAAACAAGAGCATTAGTCGAAAGAGGAGCTAAAATCTGACCTTGATCGGCGACCTTAACAGCATGTTCGTATTCAGATCGCTCGATATGCCTCTTGAGGGAAGTGAACAGATCTTCGATTGCCGGAGGAGGCTGCGACGGCGAGGCTTTGGGTTTTTCCTTCGGCTTTGGAGCCATGGCTTGTTTTCCTCGAGCGCGAGGAAAAATGTAGATTTTCTCGGGAACCAAACACTGGAGGCGAAATCGGGATCGAGCTGCAGAATTTTGCAAAGGGTTTCGGAACCGATAAAGAACCGCCGAAGACTCGGGGAAGATAAATCTATGGGTCGAAAGTGGGCTAATGGGCCTACATAAAAATATGGCCCAATTTTCTAGTTGGCGCCAATTTCTCATTAAAAACTTAATTTTCTTTTGTTCTACAGCAAAAAATATTTTAGTCAATAATAATAATAAGGAAACCAGAAATTACAAAGGGAAACAAAAAATAAAACTTGTTTATTCAGTTTAATCGAATTGTAAAAATTTATTATACTATTAAACTAATGAATATTACATAAAAATTATTATTATTATTATCAAACTGAGACATTATTAAAAATATCCTTATTTTGATATTTTGAATTCAATACATATATGATATGTGACCACATGATCCATGTAACCCGAAATATAGTGTGGACACATATTGATTTCATTGCTCATAATGTTAAATTTATAATGTTTTAATTAAATGATTAGTACATAATGAATTAATGTCATCACCATAAATTTAACGTTATAATCAATAAAACTAAAACTAAAATATAAATGTACTATATTTTGGATCATATGAGTTAGATGATCACAGATGGATAAAGATACGTGTTGAAATCAAAATAACAAAGTAAAGATATTTTTTATATAATCTCAATTGAAATTGATACCTGACTTATTACTCTTACTGTATTTTTTTTTTGTGAAACTTAACTTTATCCGAAAAAATATATATTTTTCTTACTCTAATCAAGAACTATTATTTACTTAAAGCTAGCTGTTTAGGTGTAGATGCTGACAAATGCTGATGAAACAATGAATTGTAAATATTATGTATATATAATAATTTTTTCTATCATTTTCTACTGTATATTTATATATATATAGGTAATTTACCATATTTTTTCCAATTATTATGATTTCGATATAATAACTTGCTGCTACTACTAATAATAATATAAATGGAATGAAATTCAAAAATTGAAAATTATAATGAGAAAAAAATGTAAATGCAATAAAAGCTGAGATTTTCCCATCCTTCTCAAATATCATTTTCCTTTTCCGCCTCAAAGCAAGCAGCGAGCGAGGGACGCGTGAGAGAAGCTTTCCCTCCGAGTCGCTGTTTGGAGAGCGAGAAAATACCAGAGGAAAATGACGGAAAGCGAAGGAACGGACGAGAAATCTAGCGGATCGAAGCGGAAGCTTAACCTTGTGGCCTTCACCGGAGCGGCTGGGCTGCTCGGACTCGCCATCAGTCTCGCCATCTTCGCTTTCACGTCTCACAGAGGAAAGTCCAAGAAGAAAGGTAATCTCTCGCTCTCTCTTGTTTCTTTCCTTCTTATTTTCCGCTCTGCTTGGATTTCGTCTGTTGGAATATAGATTCTACAATGCGGATTTTGGCTTTTTTGAAAATTTAGGTCTTCCGGGCTGTGCAGTTTGTGTTAACCTGTCGCCGAAGGAGATTATCGAGTTAGCTGACGCCATTGTTGCTGAGTCCACAAGGGTTTATGATGCTGTTGCCTCGGTTCCTCTCGATAGGGTACAGGAAATTTCTCGAAATTTGTTCACGTTTATTGGGAGAAGCAAATGAGTGTTTGTTGACAAGTTGCTGCTTTGTTAGTATTGACAACTTGGATAATTTAGATTGTGGCTGCTTCTGGGTTTTCATCGAAAACAAATTATCTGTAATTTTTGCCAATTTTCTGCAAGGATTTCATTATCCTGGTCATGATAGGCTTTGCAACATTTGTAATAATATACGACTGTGAACTTACTTTTGCTAAATCCTTAAAAGAGAAAGATTTTCTATCAAGAATTACTGAATGTATGCTGATGTTTGTAGGTGTCATATGAAAATGTTGTTTTGCCGCTGGCAGAGCTAGAAGCACGACAGTTCCCATTGATTCAGTCTTGCATGTTTCCTAAGATGTTAGCACCCGAGGACACAGTTCGTAAAACTAGTGCCGAAGTGGAACAGAAAATCGATGCTCATATTCTGGCATGGAGGTGTGTTGCGTGTTTTCTTCTTCTGTTGTTTAACAATCTTCGTCTTCACTTGATTCTTAGGACAGTTGACATGAATTGTCCTCTGAACTTTCTGATATATTTTATTAATTCATATGAAATTGAAGATCATATGATTCATTTCTCTATGCAAGCTTATCAGAAAGCGTGAAGATGTTTACCGTGCAATTAAAGCTTATGCGGCAAGGGGAGAACTGATTGCCCCTGAAGCTAAACGCTACCTACAGTGTCTGGTAAGGAAAATCAATCATATGTTTTCCTTTTCCCTAAACATTTTCCTTGCAGCTTAGAGTTTGAGCTTGTTATCTACTGTTGAACATATTATTATACCATGTGATGCAAGGTGCTACCTTTTCCAGTGTATAGCATCGGTTCTGGCTATGCAATGTACCGCAGTAATCAAGAAAATTTATTCTCATAAATATCATTCAAATATGGCAATTGTGTAATATTTCCTAGTTATTGTATTTTTCATTGTCTGTAACTGGTTCCAACTCATTGCTGGGTCCTTGACTACCAATTGCTATCTTACTTCATTTTTCTAACTTTCAGTGTAGAAAGTGGGTTCACAAGCGCTGAATTATTACAAAATGTCATTTGTTAATGAAAACCAATAAAAGATTTGATGTATCCTTATCCTCTTGGATTATGAAATGACAGTATCCTTGGGTTAGATAGAAGGATCTTCTGCATTTTATGTGCTCCCTTCAGTGTCCCTGGAAGATAGGAGTAGATCCGAAAACCTTTTTATCAGAGGTGTCTTGCATAGTGCCCTTGTTAGGTTCCTAGCAGACTTCTCTTGTCCTTTTATAGGTTGTGCTAGTTGAGGTGCAAGTATTGATTTCTTTTGTATCAGTGACAGGTTAAAGACTTCGAGCACAATGGTCTGGACCTTACTGTGACAAAGAGAGAGGAAGTACTGCGATTGAGAAATGAAATCGATGAGCTAAGCTTGCAATACGTCCAGAACTTAAATGATGATAATTCTTGTCTTTTCTTTAGTGAAGCTGAACTTGATGGTTTGCCTCCAGAATTACTCGAGGTTCATGTCTTTATATGTTACCTAGCTTTCTACATCCCTTGTTAATGTTTGACCTTGTTTGAAGAAACTTGATTTTTGCATATCTATTTTTTCATTCTAATTTATTCCTGAACTTATTCCCGCACAGAGTTTGGACAAAACTGGAAATGGCGAATTTAAGGTCACTCTGGAAAGTTCTCATGTTGCAGCTATTCTTGAGCTGTGCAAGGTATAACTCCCCGTGCCCTACTTTTCTATTCAACAAAAAGAAAAAGAAATGAAAGTACATGCACTGACAAGGTGCAGTGTGATCTCTGAAACTATTCCCTTCAATATGCAATTTGCTTGTGCTAATTTATTGTGTATGTTTACTGTGAATTCCCAGACCTTGTTGTTGGCTTTTGTTTTGTAGAGTATTAAAAGGTCAAGGATGCACCATGTGAGTGTAGCTTCTCACTGAAGTTTTTCTTTGACTGTTTCTTATTTTATAATTTTTTGAATGTAAAGATAGCAAGGACGAGGAGGGCAGTAGCTATGGCATATGGGAAGAGATGCGGGGATGTCAATATTGCTGTCCTAAAAAAATTGGTACTGTTTATCTTTTCCATCCTAATTTACAAAAAGGAAAGCCTGCACTGCATTTCGATTAGTTGACATTTTAATATTCTTTTCTGTTTAGGTTCAGTCGCGCCATAAATTAGCTCGCTTACTGGGTTATGCAAACTATGCAAATTATGCCCTTGACCGTAGGATGGCCAAGACATCAACAAAGGTTTGTAAAAGATCCTTCAAGTGATTAGTTTATTGTTTGTTGTGATCTGACTTGTACATACATCCTTCTTGCCTTCAGGTGATTGGATTCTTAGAGGACATCTCTTCCAGCTTAACTGATTTGGCCATTAGAGAGCTTGAGATTTTGAAAGACTTAAAGGTTGAATGTTAGCACTCATGTTTTTTACGATTAGCCATGCTTTATTCATTACTAAACTTGTTTAGATTGGTAATCAGAGGAAAGAGGAAGGCGAAATTCCATTTGGCATGGAAGATCTTTTATATTATATAAAGAGGGTAGAAGAGCAGCAGTTTGATCTTGATTTTGGAGATATCCGACAACATTTTCCTATCAGTTTGGTCCTTCCTGGGATCTTTAAAATATCTCAGGACCTTTTTGGTAAGTACAAAATGAATTAACCAAGAAACTTTGAATCTTCATAAATTTCATGGTTTGCTTACGAGGTTGCAAATGATGGTTATTTTTATCTTCGGGGTAGCTTTTGACCAATATGATCCCTCCATACAGGTTTAAAGATTGAGGAGATTGCAGAAATTGATGTATGGCATCAAGATGTTCGAGCTTTTGCTGTCTTTGACTCTGGGTCTGGCAAACTTTTGGGTTATTTCTACCTTGATATGTTCACAAGGTCCATTAGCTACTTTAGCTCTTCATTTTTTGGCTGTTTCATCGCCTCAATTTTTTTAAAGTTGTAACCATACTTTTGTTGGAGGCAGGGAAGGGAAATTTAGTCACACCTGTGTGGTTGCTCTGCAGAACAATGCACTGTTTCACAATGGCACAAGTCAGGTGATTGTCTTGCGTACTGCAATATGCTAGATTTAATATCTCAGGTTTTTGTCTTGAAGTATGGCATTGTCCTAAATTAAGGATCATATTAGGATCTCATGTAAACTTGGGATTAAGACAATGTTGATGTTGATTAGGATCTCATGTGGATGCAGACTTCCTTGCATTAGTGTTTCTATTCGGGATCAGACTTTTAATCAATTTGTTTTTTTTACTACCTCTCCAGATCCCCGTGTCATTGCTTATAGCACAGTTTTCGAAGGATGTAGGAGGGGAACCTGCCCCATTGGGTTTCTCTGAGGTGGTTAGTCTTTTTCACGAGTTTGGCCATGTGGTATGTCTAAGTAACTTGTCTCACTTGACAATTATACAGAAGAAAATTGGTTTTATGCATTTTTTATACCGATTGATGATATGAAGCTTTGTTCCTTGCTGACCAACGGCATATAGGTCCAACATATCTGCAATCGTGCTTCATTTGCCAGATTCTCGGGCCTACATGTGGACCCTGATTTCGTGGAGATACCATCTCAAGTATTGGAAAATTGGTAACTGATTGGCAATTCTGTTCCAATTCTCATCATATACATATATAAAGAAACTCACAAGGCTATACGATCTTGGTATTTCTAGGTGTTATGAGAGTTTCACGTTGAAGTTAATGTCGGGTTATCGACAGGTGATTTTTTTTGCATGAAGTTTAATACATGGTTCATCGCTCGTTGTACTGTTGCCTGTGACCACACCTTTATTTGATTCATTCGATCTGCAGGATATTACTAAGCCACTTTTGGATGAAGTTTGCAAAACACTCAAACGGTGGCGATATTCTTTCTCTGCGCTTAAGTTGCTGCAAGAGATATTTTACTGTGAGACATCTAACACAACTTTTTAGTTGTCTCTTTCTAGGACACCGTTTAAAAATATTCTTATACAGTGCTGTCAAATGTTGTCCTGATGATTATACCCATCGCGTGTGAGAGATTACCTCTGCATTTTGTTTTGTCGAGTCTCTTCCCTTAAATGATTCCACAAAATTGTTTGGAAAGAATGGTAGATTGTACTTCTTTTCCTGCACTGGATCCTTTTGGAGGAAGATATTCCCAATATGAACAGTCTGGAAAATTCAACAACTAATAATATTTTTGACATGTTGGTTATCAGGTCTATTTGATCAAATCATATATTCAGCCGATGATGTTAACTTCCTCGAGCTAATCAGAAGTCTTCATCCAAAGGTAACAATAAATATTTGCAAGGGAATCCTTTTGCTTTAGGTAGCAACTAATTTACAAAAAAATTAATTGCTGTTATAGGTAATGTTAGGTCTACCAGTGTTGGAAGGAACCAATCCTGCTTCCTGTTTCCCCCGTGCAGCTATTGGCTCCGGAGGC